CTCCACCGAAATGAGGGAGTGAATCACACAGGAAGGCATGAGACCCAAGAACAATGGGACTCAACTAGAAAAGGAAGTAAACAGGGTAAGGACTAGGGTGAAGCAAGCAAGGTGCCTAGTACACAAACTTTAAGGAGACATTTCTCTTAGGGTCAGGCAATTACTGACGCAACAGTTGCATAACCCTGAGAGGCAGCACCTTCCTAAATTGTGCTACCACAGTGCTTCAAGGGCCCTGGGGATGCAGCTGTTCATGAGACCAGATTGTAACAGGAGGATCCTACACTCCAGCAGCAATGTCCTCCAGGAAATTAAAAGTGGCAGGGGAAGAAAGGGGAGGGAAGGAGACTTAGAGATTCCTGATGTGAGAGATTCACATGTCTGTGGAAAGTTTGGAGAATTAATGATAAGTAATACATATCTAACAGGTAACTAAAGAAATTTGAAATGAGGCAATTACGAGTTCCGGCAGAAGGGTGAGGAAGAAGTTACAAGGAAGAAAAATAATCTTAGTGCACTAAATAGACCAATTGTGGATAATATTTCCTACTTCTAGTCAGGCATTCAACTAAAGCCTGTGCTATAACAATGTGGGGAAGAGGGGAAAGAGGAAAATCTGGTGACAGTGTACAGGGTCAAATTCTCATCTGCATTTTGGGAAGTCAGTGACAGTATCTAAAATTGTTAAATCAGAAAACAGTAATATTTCAAAATTTAAAATAGTAAAATTGAGACATATAGAGGTAAATTCCAGAAGAAGAAAAAAAGAGCTAGCAATGTTGAAAATAACTGCCTCTGGGAAACAGATTTAAGAGGGGAGAAAAGGCCAGCAGTTTAGGCTTTTTATATACTCATTATAAGCTATTTGACTTGCCCTGGCCAGGTGACTCGGTTGCAGTGTCATCTCATGCACCAAAAGTTTGTGGGTTTGATTCTGGGTCAGGGCACATACCTGGTTTGTGGTTTCATTCCTGGTGGGGGTACTTACAAGAGGCAACCAGTCGATCGTTCTGCCCCCCACCCTCTCTCTCTCTCTCTCTCTCTCTCTCTCTCTCTCTCTCTCTCGCGCGCGCGCGCGCGCACACACACACACATCCTCTCTCTAAAATAAACAAATCCTTCGGTGAGGATTAAGCAAATAAACAAACAAAAAAACACAACTATTTGACTTTTTCAAGAAATAAAGGGAGGCATGAATCTAGTCTGGAAGAGACTACCCTAGTTCCCTGAGATTTTGTTCAACCTCAGACAGTGTTGGGGACATCTTGTGAGGGAGTGCCCTGTGGAGCGATGAATGGGAATCTGCCACTCACCGTGAGTACAATCACACACAAGTCACTGAACGTCGGTTCCTCATCTACCAAGTGGTAATTACAGTACCAATATTTGCCTTATCTTCCCCACAGACTTACGGTAAGGGTCTCCCCTTAAGGCCTTTAGGGTCCAAATGGATATGATTCTACTCACAGACTCCTAGGGCAAAGAGCTGGGAAGGCTCCGAGGCACCCTGTCCCCACCCGCCCTATGTGAGGTAGTGAGGGAAGGTGAGCACTGGAACCCACAGCTGCTGGGGCCCAGGCCTAGAGCTCTTCCACCTGCTCCACACTGCCCCTTGGTACACGCAAAGTCCAACTTAAATGAGGTGACAGTTTCCTCCTCATACTCATCTCCCTTTTAGCCACTCTCCCTCAGCCTTCTCTGTACCTCTGGTCCCTCTGCCAGCTCGCACTGCAACCTGAATTCTCAGTCTTGCCTCCTGCCTTTCTCCCACATCGTCTGTGCAGCAAGTCTTATTAAATTCTACTCCAATTCCTTGAATCTCTCTTCTTTTCTCTCCATCCTGATTACTACTAGTCTGGCCTAAAGCACCACCACCTCTCACCTGGGTTATTGCAACAGTCTCTTCCTGTCAACGCTTTGCTACACAGAGCTATAGCAATCCCTCAAAAACACAAATCTGATGCCATGCCCTGTGCCAAACCCAATGATGGTTCTACAAGGCCCTGGGAAATAGTCCAAACTCTTTTCTATGGTTTACAATACCCTGTATCATCTGTCCCCTGCCTACTTCTCCAGTCTTCTTTTTCTTCTCTCTCTGATTTATTTATTTATTTATTTATTTATTTATTTATTTATTTATTATTTATTTATTTCATTCATTCATTCATTCATTTAATATGTATGGAGCATCAGTTCTGTGCCTCTGACCCCCTCATCCCACTTACTACTGGCAACTCCCCGAATCCTTTATGCTCCCCCCTTTCCCTAGCCTTGTCATATGTTGCCCACTCTCTGCCCTAAACACTCTTCTTTCTTCACCTATTTCTTATTTGTCCTTCAAGAGTAAACTCAAACTCAATAGAGAAATGGGCAAAGGTCACAAATGGGTGGCTCACAGAAAAAGCAATACTAATTGCTAATAAATACATGAAAAAATTTCAACGTGAATTAAGGAGTACAAAATAAGGCTACAACTTGTTGTCTACTTATCACTTTGGTTGGAGGTGCCCATGAGTTCTCCATCCTTTTTCTTTCTCTGGTGTGGGAATCTCTAAAGTCACATTTTACAGCATAACACTTTGGTGGGGCCTCCATCAACCTGAACGTTAATGTCCACAGAGAACAGAGAGACTCCCACCAACCTGTGTTGGAAGTTTAACATGAACAACAAATAAACATTTGCTGGGCTAAGCTACTGAGATTTCAGGGTTAATTTGTTACCACAACCTACCTAGGCAGTCTCAATTAATACACTTGAATATGCCCATTTTAGAAATGTATAAAGAAAGAATGCATAACCTGTTCAAGGCACACAGATAGTAAGTAGTAGAGCTGCGATTTGAAAGCAGGCAGTCTAGCTCCAGAGACTGTGGTGTGTTTTTAACACCCATATTTTACTTTCTCTTGGCTATAGATGTATGTGTATCCATAATTTCTGGTCCTAGAGACAAAAAGCTGTTAACAGTGGTTTCCTCTGAGGAGCGAGATTAGGGACTGGATTGAGGAAAGACACATACCAGCCTAGAGGCTCCAACTCCCTCCCTACATGGGGCTTGGCCAAGGGTGGCCTTCAATAAATGATCATGCTTCCCCCAATGCACTGTCAGCTCCTAGGCGTTGGGGACACTGCTCTCCTGTGAGAACACAGTGGCAATGAGGGGAAGGGGGAGGGTGGTAATGAGCCAAGTCTATGGGAACAAAAACTCAAGAAAGGCAATGGACCAGAACCCAATGCCCTAAAACTTCCTGTCAAAGCAGGATCAGCAGGCAGGAAATTCTGCTTGCAGGTGCTATAAGGATGCTGACTCTGGTTTCTGAGAAGCCTGGAGCCAAGGCCAAAGAAGAAAGCAGCCTTGTTGACCAAGGGTAAGAAGCCCCAGTCCAGACAGGAAAGTTGCTCTTCCCAAAGAATAGTAGCACCAAGTGCCAAAGCCACAGCCCGTTTGAAAAAGCAGGTGGTGGAGCAGCCCACCTCTGGAAAGACCAGTTTTGGTAGACTCACCTTCAAATTTTTTGAGCCCTAGTAGTTGGAAGGATGAGAGTGAGAATAGCCGCCACTCCACCCAGACAGGGACTCAGTCCTTACTGAAGGGAGTGCCACCAAGGCCTCTGCCACATGGAGGGAGTATGCAGAAGCTCAGCTGGGGCCCTTGTTTACAGGAAGAGGCCATTCTGAACTGGCCCCTTTTCACCTTTCAGTCAGGAGCTTTTACATATGTGGAAGGCCTGGCTTCCTCCTCCTCTGGCCTAGCATGTACTCCAGGAGCACATCCACCCTACTTCCTAATCAGCAGTGAATGAGGCGATGCAAGATGTAAGGAGAGAAACTCATAGGTTAGAATCAGGTCCTGTGGGTTCAAGTCCCAGGCCAGCTCCTCCACTTCTAAACTGTGTGATCTTGACCAGACCAGTCATACTACATGAACCTCAGCTTCCTCAGCTGTACAATGAAGATTATTAGGCACATATGGTGCTTCAAACAGTGGCTGGGTGAAAAAGGGGTGCAATAAATGCTAGCTAATATTATCTCAGAATTAGCTATAATTATGAGTGTGTAACTATTAGGGTGTATTATGCATAGCAATAGCTTCTACCTCATAAAATTGGCATGAAGCTAAAGTGAAATAATAAGTGTGAACATACCTGAAACACAGGAAGTACCTAACACATAAGAATTTCTTTCTCCTGGTCTCTTCCAGCCCTGATTGCCCGTCATTCCCAGATTAACACTGCTCTTTCCAGCATTGGGGATCCTGGTCTCACCCCAGGCAGGCCTCTAAGCCCCATTCCCTGTCCTCTAGCCCATTCTCCCTAGTCAATGGCAAGCCCCGAGCTCACAGAGCCCACTTGCATCTTTCCTTCCCAGATATCTTACAAGGTCATTTAATACATGCCCACACCTTCAGCCAGCACTCACCTAAACCACCTGACAAATGAGAATTTTTCCCAGGACCCCTCCCATAGGGATGATTTGCTTCAGCACCAAGAACACAGTGGCCAGCAGATAACTTTCATAAAGTGTTTGTGATGCAGAGAGTGGAAAAAGTGGATGGATAGATGGATGAATTCTTCTACCCCAGAAGTTTTCACAGTCTCCCTCTGTCACTAGGACAATTGTCTCCCACCAATGGTCTGCTCAAGTTCTTCAGGTTGCAGCTAAACCCTTTTCCTTGGCTAGCCTTAGTGGAACCACTTCCTATTTTACCAAAACATGCCCTCCTTGCCCTAATGTAGATCCAGGAAGTTTCAACATGCACATCTGCAGCAAGACTTTGTCTCACACATGTGCACACACAGGCACACACCCATATGCACACACAGATCCCCACATGCATACTCAGACCCCAAGAGTACCATCCCCTCTACAGGTCAGGGGGATCAACCCTCTTGATGTCTGGGAACCATCCAGGTTTTAGCATCAAGAGTCCTGCTAAACCCTAAAACCCTTGTCCCAGGCAAACCCAGACAGTTGGTCACCCTACCAAAAGCTAAAATCTCACCGATAACCAAGATACTAAGGGCTCACTGGAAAATAGCAAAGACCTCCAGGGCGGTCTTGAGGTCCTTCTTAGAGGGCAAGAGCATTCTGCCCAAGGTCCCAGTGGCTCCAGCCAGGTAAGTGTTGTTTGGCTGCCCAGTCCTGAATGCTCAGGGGCCTGCAATGTTTCCTCTCTTCAAGCCTGCCTCTCCAGCACCTGCCTAGTCTCCACGCTCTCATTCTCCCCATCTCCACCCTTACACAGGATCATAGGACTACGTGCTTCCTCTGCTTGTCCAGTTCCTTTCACCTCTCTAACCAGCTGCACTTTTACCCACTGGTGCATGACATGGGATGAGGTTATGACACTCCTTTGCACACTTGCACAGAGAAATGTGAATTAAGCTCTGGTGTAGGAAGTGAGTGGGAGTGGGGGGGTGGAGCTGGTGAGAGGCCTTCGGAGCCAGTGTGGATAGGGTGAGGGGCAGGGAGGAGCCCAGGGCACACATGGCGCACAGGTATGCAATTCTTTTTGAGCCCAGCTGTTAGATAAGACTAGGGTCTCAAGGTTTGGGAAGTTCTAAATGCTTTCTTGATAAACATTAAAACATAGCATAGTACTTTGTAGATGAAGCTGTAAACAGGTGAGTCGACAAGAACTTAACCCATGAAAGTAGCCAATTGCAAAGAAGGCTAAGCCTCCCTTCGGGGAGGCAGAGCTTTGGATATGAATCCCATCTCCTTTACTTACTGAAAGAAAATAAAACTACTTTGCCACAACCATATCTTGCTTTTGAGTAGAGCACCCCAAGCCACGAACCCCTTAAGTTTGATAACACAGCTACCTATGCTCTCAGTGACACTGTGATTGGAGGGGAGGAGAGAGGTCACAGGCCAAACCAAGAAATACCTTTGGCTTCTTGGTCAGTCCAGAACTCACTGCTTTCCATGAACAGACATCAGATATAGTCTATAAGCGTATAGTAGGTGCTAAATAGTTATTGAATGAATAAACAAATGTGAGTACTTATCAAATTATTCTGTGTACATGAAATTCTAGAACAGGTAAAACTAATCTATCATTTTTTTAAAAAAAAAGTCATAGTAGTGGTTGCCTCTGGTAGAGGACTGACCAAGAAGGGGCATGATGGAAATTTTGAGGATGACAATAATGTTCTCTATCTTGACATAGCTTTGAGTTATACAGGTCAAAAACTCATTTGTCAAAACTCAGCAAATATACACTTAAAATTTGTGCATTTCTCTGCACGTAAATTTTACCTAAAATGTAAATAAATATTGAACTCAGTGCTGAAGTGTTTAGGGGTGAAGAGTACTGATGGCTGCAATTCACTCTGAAATGCATATAAGATGTACTGATAGATGAATCAAGTGATATGTTGAATAGATGTGCAATGAATCCATACAACAAAATATCTGTACAATCTAGATGGTGGGTATTCACTGTACAATTCTTTCAACTCTTCTGTAGGCTTGAAATTAGTTAAAATAGAATTTTGGAAAAAATAGGTCTCTTAAGGTCATAGTAAAAATAAATTTTAGCCCAGCCAGTGTGACTCAGTGGTTGAGTGTCTACCTATGAACCAGGAGGTCATGGTTTGATTCCCGGAGGGTCTCAGGGCACATGCCCGGGTTTTGGGCTTGATCCCCACTAAGGGCCTGCAGGAGGCAGCCGATCAATGTCCTTCTCTCCCTCTCCTTCCCTCTCTTTAAAATGAATAAAAAAAATATTTTAAAAAGTAAATAAAAATTTAAAAAGTAGTTTCTTCATGCACATACATGTGCACATATGGTTTTGTGCGTGCATATACATTTACAAAGGTAAATATGTTTCTAATTGTCAATACATGCTTATAGATACACATCAGTAGATAGCATCACCAGATATGTGTCTGTGTGCTATGGGGATGTGTGCTTGTGAAAGCATCTAAGGCCAGCCAGGTGTGTGCTACACGCCAAGTAGATGAAAGTGTGAAAGACCGGAGGGCTTCTTAATGTAACACATAATTATTGATGGCACAGTATATGGCAGGGACTGTTCCAGACAGTTGGGTTATATTAGTGAGCAAAAAATATTTTACAATTCATGTTTTTGTGAAGTTGACATTCTGATAGAGGAAGACAGATGATAGAAATTAATTAATGGATTATCTAGTGAGTTACAAATTGCTAAGTGCTATGGAAAAAGAAAAACAGTTGAAACAGAGTAAGGAAGATCCATAGTGCTGGAGGTGGGGAGGGACTGGGGACGGAGAACAGGCTTTACAATTTTTTTAAATTTACTTTTTTATTGTTCACAGTATTACAGATGTGTTCTATTTTCCCTCCTTTTGCCCACCTCCATCCAGCCCCTGCCCCCATCCAGGTCTTCACCACACCATTGTCTGTGTCCATGGTCTATGAATATATGCACATAAATTCTTTGGTTAATCTCTTCCTGTCCACCCCAACCCCCCTCTCCCCCGCTCTGAGATCTGTCAGTCTGTTCCATGTATCCATGTCTCTGTATCTATTTTGTCCATCAGTTTATTTTGTTCTTTAGATTCCACATATGAGTGAGATCATGTGATATTTGTCTTTCTCTAACTGGTTTATTTTGCTTAGCATAATACTCTCCAGGTCCATCCATGCTGTCACAAAGGGTAATTTTAAAAGGAGTGGTGAGGGCCTTGGCCAGTGTGGTTCAGTGGTTAGGGTGTTGGCCCATGCACTGAGGGGTCTCGGGTATGTCAAAAGCACATTCTTGGGTTTTGTGTTTGATACACATGGGGGAGGCAACTAATTGATGTCTCTCTCTCACATCAATGTTTCTCTCCCTCTCCCTCCCTTCCTTTCTCCCTCTCTCCCTTCTACTCTCTCTAAAATCAATGGAAAAAATTTCCTTGGGTAAGGATTAACAAAAGAATAATAATAATAAGAAGAATAACAAAAGGAGTGATCAAAGAAGGCCACTGCTGAAAAGGTGGCAACTGAGCATTGAGATGAGATGATGTGTCAAGCCATGTGGCTGTCTGAACCGCAAATGTTCCAGCAGCCAGAGAGCACAGCCAGTGAACAGACCCTAAGGTGGGGTATGCCTGGCAGTTTTTGAGGAATAGACTTGAACCAAGTGAGTGAGAGGAACTGAGGAGGTGAAGTCAGAATGCTTGGTGGGGCCAAATGGGGTAAGGCCTTGGCCTTTTACTCTGACTGAGCCTTTGTAGGGTTTTGAGCAGAGAAGAGACAGGATTGATTTGTTGTTTTGAAGGGCCAGGGAAGAAGGAGGAGACTTTGGAGGGGTTATTATAGTAATCTAGGTGAGAGATGATGGTGGCTCAGGCCAGACTGTTGGTAGTCCAGATGGTGGCAAATGGTCACATCTGGATATGTCTGGCCCCACACAGGCACTTTCCTCTCTGAGGCTCAGATGCCTCTACAAGGGTATCCAGTTAGTGAACACCTGTTACCAAACTCAAGGGGTTCGAGGCTTCAGGTGCTCTATTCAAAAACGAGATGTGGTTGTCTCAAGGTAGTTTTACTTACTTGCAGCAAGTAAAGGAGATGGGATTAATATCCAAAGCTCTGCCTTGGGGAAGGGAGGCTTAGCCATTGCTCACATATTCTATTTGGTCAATTACATGTTGATTTCTTCTTTGCAGTTGGCTACTGTCATCCAGTTGACTTCCTGTCAGCTCATACTGTTAACAGCTTTATCTACAAAATACTAGCCTCATAACAAGAAATAACATTTAGAACTGCCCAGACCTTGAGACCCTTGTCATGTCAAGCACACCCACCCAGGGTCCTACCTTGGCCTGGGTGCCTTCCTTGCATTCAGCCCGGTCCAATCCAGTTCTGCAGGGAACCTGTGGAGAGTGTTGGGTGCAGCTTGCCTGCTTGGATGAAATAGTGGTTCTGTGAAGGGACTGGTGGGAAGTGAGGCTCAAAATGGCAGCATATCCAATCTCCAAAAGAGTCTGGACACCAAGACAAGGAGTGTGGGCTTAATATGTGGGCACTGAGGAGGTGAGAGCTTCTAAGGAAGGATGGTGACTTGTGCCAAATGTCACATGAGGATGATTTTCAGGCACAAGGTGATTGTAAGGGCCTAGGGGCCCAGCTGCCCTCATGATTGACACACAGGCTCACCCTTCTCTCCTCTCTAATACTTACTTGCAAGACCAGCTCCACCTCCACACAAAGTAAGTGGATGGGCTTATGGGACTTGTGCCGGCACAGAAAAGCCTACTGGCCCCACAGTGTGTTTGGGAGGGAGGTTGCACACTTCTTATCCAGACTTTTGTTGGGGAATCTTCCTGAGACTATCTCCTATTGGGGAATAAAACTCCATAAACACTGAACACAGGTGAATGGCAAGGGATAGAGAAAGCTCTGGCAGACAAGAAATAGTCTGGCCTGGCTATCTGGTGTGGAGTTGATGGGGGAAAGGAGGCTATAGCCAAGATTCTGACTCGGTCCCTGGGTGGGTCGTGAGGATAGGGAACACAGGAAGAGGGGCACTACTTGCAGGGTGGCTGGAGCAAATTATCACCTTAGTTTGGGCCACCATTTGTGCAAGGAGCCTGCAAAACAAGCAGGCCCTATGACAGCTAGTAAAGCTAGCTGCTGCTTGTAAAGTGTGTTGTGCTGACCCTAAGCTTTCAGAGACATGATCCAGGAGCAACTATGGTGGAGGCTGAGCAGAGGACTCTGGCTTGACAGCTTCCACTCAAAACAGAGCACCAGCTCTCTTTTAACCTGCTTCAAATTAGAATTCCATGAAAAATTGTATTTGAGAAACGGGCCACGTGGGGGAGGGGAAGGTTCTGCAAGGCCCTGGGGGAGCTTAGCAGCAACAGTATCTGCACTTCCTTACCAAAAAGAAGCTGCCGTGGTGGGCTGTGGGCCAAGGGCATAAGGCGCAGGGACACTTCCAAGGGCCAGTGCCAAGGCAGCAATGGAGCCTGAAAAGAGAGAAAGAGCTATTACTGAAGAGGAAGAATGCCTGGGATGAGTGGACTCACCTTCCACTGAGCCAGCCCTGAGAGGAGTCCTCATTCATATCCAGCCGGCCCCAAGGACTTGTATTTTGTTATTCTTGCCCCTT